CCGCCACGCCAGGCCTCGTCGGCGTGATGCCACGGTGATGGCGATGGCGTGGCAGGCGAGCCAACACGTCAGTCGTCCGTCCGGCAGGAAGCGAGGGGGTCAAGGTGGTTCATTATTCAGAACAAGACATTTTGTAATGGAAAGTTGTGACGTCGACAGACAGAGAGACGGCGGCTCTGGCGCGCTCTGGCGGCACGTGCACGCTCGGGGTCGCCGACAACGCCCTTTGCCAGGACGGCGCGGACGCCGTGCGGCACGCCATCTTGGCCGCGGTGCGGAGCTGGCGGAGCGCTTCCGTCCCTCCCTTCCTCCGCAGCCTCCCCCTCCCCTCCCCCAGAGTGCACAACGTAGGGTGGGCCGGGCCCTCGGCCCTGGCTCGGCTCTGGCGGCTCGGCGGCTCCGGTTCAACTAGTGTGCCTGCTGCTGGCGCCGCGTCCGCACCGCTCGTCCGGGCGCCTCCCGCCCCTCCGCGGCCACCGTCCGGCCCTGCCGCCAGCGCGCACCGCGTGCTGCAGCACGCCGTACTGGCGGACGGCCTGGCCGACGGCCTGGCGGACACACCGCAGTGCGCGTGCGCGACAAGAAGTGCCTGCCGCGAGTGCCGCGCGGGACTTACGGTGTTGTGGATACGGACTTGGACTTACTGACGTGCTGCTCTTCTGTTCCGTTCCGGCTTCGTCTGCGACCCAGCGTCCAGCGAACACCAGAGGTGAGGCCGGCCGCACGGCCAGGCTCACGCGACTTGCATGAATCTTCTTGTGGGGCCGTGAGACGTGTCTCGACCCCGCCAAGTCGGCTCAAGGGATACAGGACACAGGGGTTCGAATCGTTGGGACAGCGCCTCGGGCGTGGGGCGTGGGGTTCGCCTCCCTCTCGTCACTTTTTTTCCTGCCGAACCGGCCCGGGGACCTCCGGGACCTCCGACCTTTCGTTTCGCCCTGACGCCCTGCCTTGGCCCGGCGCGTTCCGGCCGACTACATCTGACGGGCCGGGCGGGCTGGCGGTTGGCGCCCCGGGCGGTGGGGCTCGCTCCACTGGCTCTTCTTGTCGGGGCGGAGGACGGAGGGCGCACGTCAAACGCAAGGAAGGGCTGCTCCCTGCTCCTTATCGACATAATCAGCAAGGCGTATCTTTATTTATATGCGCATACATCTGTTTGCCAATACTGCCTGATCTGGGCGGGCCGCCTCCGTTCCACGTGCCCACCAGCCCCGCCAGCCCCGCCAGCCCCGCCAGCCCCACCAGCCCCGCCCGCAGCAAGGGGCGAGAACAAGGCCGCCGTTACTGCTCCGCGCTGCTGCGGAACGCACAGTGGACCAGAAGACCGGCGCAGGAGGCCAAAACTCTAGTCGCGTTTTGAGCTCCACAGTCGCTTAACAGGACTCGAACCGAACTGAACGTGTGACCCCACCAATGGATTGCTCTCCGAACGAGAAATCCATTGGTGGGGCCACTCGTTCGGTTCGGTTCGAGTCCTGTTAAGCGACTCTGGAGCTGAAACCGCGTCTCTGGAGTTTCGGCCTCCTGCGCCGGTCTTCACCGTGACGCTCGCACCGCGGCGGCCGACAGCCTCACAGACGGACAGGCAGGTCGGCCCCGTCCCCGGCAGTCCCGGGGGATCGCCATTGAGGCGGTAACCTCGCCGCGGATCACGGCGGCGGCGTCTCGGCGCAGAGGGGCTGCCAAGAGGCAGCACTTGATTCGTGGGCTCTGTCTCTCTCGCACGCTGGCGCAACGCCTCGAGTGTGTGTGAGAGAGAGAGAGAGAGAGAGAGAGAGAGAGAGAGAGAGAGAGAGAGACCAGGTCGGCGACGTCGGTGGAAACGGCAGCGCATTGCTGATTGAATAGCCGAGGGCACGGCGAGCACGGCGAGCACGGCGACGCGTCGAGGCCATCCCGGTGGCGGTGGCGGCCTGGCGGCGGTACCCCGCTCGGTGACACCGCGGCACCGCGGCGGCAGCCTCGCCGTCCCGGGGGAAATTTGGCCAATACTCACGCAGATCGCAGCACTGCTGGAGGCCCGCCCCGCACAATGGAGGCGGCTGGGGACGCCGCTGGAGTCTCTCCAGTGAGGCGCCGCGAAACGCGAAAAGGGACGAGAATGCGATATTCGCTGCAGGGCCTCGCCCCGCCTCGCCCAGCCTCGCCTTCTTGTGCGGCCGGAGATAGCCGCCACTACATCTAGAGAGGCGGAGGCACTCGCAACCTTGGGCTGGGCCTTCTACTCCTTCTTCTCCCCGAATAAACACTGCCCGCGCAAGAACAAGTTTCCAGCCGCCCTTTTCTTTGCCGAGTAATTTGGCACCTGTTTTTGGGTGACCGCGCGGGCCGCGCGGGGTGGGGGTGGGGCGGACGGACCCGGGTCTGCGGACGAGGCGGGAGGGGACGGTTGGTAGCTTTAGTTAAAGCCGACATCCCAGGCCGCTCATATGCTGTGTCTGTTCTTTAAAAAAAAGAAAGAAAAAGAAACTTTGTGGAAAGCATTTGAAATAGCTCGAGGTGACCCTACTCTGTACCTGTCACACAGTGGGCCAGAACATCGGCGCCACCGACTCTCGATGCGTCGCTGCAGGCAGACATGACTCGAACCGAACGTGTGACCCCACCAATGGATTCCTCGTTCGGAGAGCAATCCATTGGAGGGGTCACAAGCTAGGTTCGAGTCCTGTTTAGCGACTCTGTAGCCCAAAACGCGTCCGGGGTTTTGACCGCCTCCACCGGTCTTCTGGCAAGTCCACCGTGTACCTGTCGGGGGAACTCACCGGAGCGGCGAAAGTCATAACCGAGGGGGTTTTACACTCCTCGTGCATTCACCCTGTGCCCTGTGCGATGGGCTGCCTGGCTGCCTGGCTGGCTCGGGGTCGGCAGCCCGACGCGTTATTTCAGAGGCTGGGTTGGTGGCAGGGAGGCTTGCGCGCCCGACCGAGTTCACATCGCGTTCAGACCGGCGGGCAGGGCGCGCGGCTGCAGAGCGAATCCGGGCACACTCTGTCTCTCTCACTCGCGCACCCTTTCGGAACCCCGTCCGAGAGAGACAGAGTCAGCCAAGGAATCAGCTTGCTGTCTGACCTTTTCTAGGATGCTCCTCTGCTCCGCCGGCAAGCCGCACTCAGAGGAGGGGGAGGGGGTGAGAGTGCAAAACAGGCTCGCCATGTTGACGCGCCTAAAACAAGTCCATTCCACTTGTTTGCCGAGGCTGCACGCGAGGCGGGGCTGCACGTCGCCAGGCGCGCCTGGCCGTGTTTCTGGCAGCCGGGCTGCACACCAGCCACTACACCCTACACCGTCCCCGTGCCATGGCTGTGCCATGGCTGTGCCATGGCCGTGATCGACTCGAGGGGCACCGAAAGGAGGCGAGGGGGCCGAAAGGGGTGCAACCAGAGCCCGGGCCACGGGCTTGGCCCGGCCCGGGCCGCCGAAGCCGTTCGCAGCCGTTCACGATATCGCATTACGACAATACTGCGAATCCCCACCCGACCCGTCCGTTTTGGGTGCCGTGGACCGTGGCCCGCGCAGCGGACTGAGAGCCGATTTCCATCGCGCCGTCTCTCTCGCACCCGTGAGAACGCCCCATGAGTGCGAGAGAGGCAGCGCGACGACTCTCGGAGTCAGTCTGCAGAGCGCAGCGTCGCGAGCGGGACCCTCCTCTCTCCTCCGGCAGCTCTTTGAGGAGAGGGAGGGACTCTTCTTCGCGAAGCGAAGGAAAGCGCCAGTGGACTGAGCGTCGCTGGCTGTCTCTCTCGCACTCATACGGCGTCCCCTTTCCGCGCGAGAGAGACAGCGCGACGAAATCGGCTCTCGGAACCAGTCTGCAGAGAGTAATACTCGAACCGAAAGCAGAGTTTCTTTCGGTGACGCTGCTGGCTAGATCCAGGCTCCGCGCCGCTCCGCGTCCCTCAGAGCCCAGAGCCAGCAGCGGGGCGGAGCGGAGTGATATGATGGACGAGGCGCGGCCCTGGCGGCGCCGGGGGTCGAACCCGAGCCGAGCGCGCGGCCAGGGCCGCGAGGGCCGCGAGGAGCGATGCTAATTACCCAGCCAACCAACAGCCCGCCGGCCTGGCCGGGCTGCCGCGCCAGCCACCTGGTGCTCGCGGCACAGGCCAGACTCCGGACAGCGCTTTCGTCGCTCTGTCTCTCTCGCGCCGCCACGGAGCGCCCCGCGAGTGCGAGAGAGGCGGAGCGACGAAGAAAGCACGGCCTGCTGGATTCGGGATTTCGGGAGCGCGTGTTTACGCGCGAAGCCAGGCCGCTACGCCGCGCCTTCGCTAGGCCCGCTAGGCCTTTGCTCACCTCCGGAAAAACTCTCCCACTCTCTTTCGCCCCATTAAGTTTTCATCCCCGGCGCGAAGGGAGGGAGGCCGCGAGACTAGCCCTCCACGGCCGTCAAACGGCGCCAACGCCCGGCGCGCCTCTGCAGTGCTCAGACCGCACAGTGGGCCAGAAGACCGGCGGAGGCGGTCAAAATCCTGGACGGTTTTCGAGCTCCAGAGTCGCTAAATGGGACTCGAACCGAACTTTTGACGCCACCAAAGGATTCCTCGTTCCGAAAGCAATTCACTGGTGGGGTCACACGTTAACTGTTATTCAACAAATGTGGCATCACATTCCTTTGAATGTGAAAACTGTCACGTTCCTTCAACTGTAACTGGTCACACTCTAGGGAATGTGACAGGCTGGGTTTATTTGTCACACTATTTTAAGCATGACACTAGCCAGCTGGAAAGCTGTCACGTTTCTTTCAACAAGACAAATGCAATGATAATTTTGACGAGACTATTGAAATCAAATTGGGCGGCAAAGGCTAGACTGATCAGAAAAACCATTGACTAGAACAGCAGACTTCATGGCTTACATAAAAACTAAGTGGTGAAACTTATCACCAGTATGTTGGTGAGTCCAAATCATTTCCACCCAACTCCGCTCTCACATGGACTGGTTTCAAATTTTAGTTCAAAGCCGTCATCAGTTCAGAACCAGTCTTTTGTTTAAAATGAACTAACCTTAGGTACTCGAGCAACCCCTCGGAATCAATTTTTGGACAAGGTGACTGCTTCAGATAATATCCGACGTTGAAAGTAAACCAAAATATTGGTTTCTGTAGTGGCAGACTCAAGATGAAGTTGACATAGTGTTCATAAACTTGTTTGATTTTCACAGTATTCGAAGCAACACGCATTCCACTGGGTGTTCAAGTATTGACACAAGAATAGTCCCCAACGCACCGACGATTCAGGAAGAGTCACCATCACACAGCACAAATAACAAACATAATTTTATCACGACACACTGCTGATCCCATTTGACTACGCAACGCGACTGCGCATAGAAAACCGACTGCCTATAACTCTATAAAACTCTTCTTGAGCTTCTTTTGTTTTGCTCACGGTATTCGCAGTTTTAAAATGTTCGCTTGCCTTTCTTGTGATCAGCTGATTTACGCTCTAAAATTATAATTTCTTTTGTTCTCTGTGATGAAGACTCTTCCATAACGGTCTGTGCGTTGGAGACCTTATTCGTGTTGCTCGTGTGTCAATACTTGAATACTCACTGGAATGCGTCTGAATGCGTTTTGCTTGGAATACTGTGAATACCATACAAGGTTATGAACACCCAGTCACCTTCATCATGAGTCTGCCACTACAGAAGCAAATGTGTTGGTTAAGTTTCATCGTTGGATACCATCAGAAGCAGTCACCCTGTCCACAAATTGATTCCGATGGGCTGCTCGAGTACCTAAGGTTAGTACATTTTTGTTTGTCGGCGTGCTTTCCTGTAGACTGATTCCGAGCGCCTTGTCTCCCTCACACCCATCCGACTGGAGCTCAAAATGCGTGTGGAGTTTTGACCCCCTGCGCCGGTCTTCTGGCCCACTGCGGACCGCCAGCGAGCGCCAGTAGGCCCAACAATCGGGCATTTCCTTAAGAAAAACATCAGGGGACAACGGCCTCCTTCACAGAACAAGTGCCAAATTAGAATCTTTTCCCCCAAGATCCTAGGGAGAGTCAAACGAAAAAGCCATACAAAAGAAAACGTGACCTGTAAACAAGCGTTTTTCGGTCCGTTCCGCCGTCCGCGTGACGTCATTTTCCGCCACTTTGACCTGATTGGGCGGCGGAACTGCCTGGCCGCCCCGGCCCGCGCACCACGCCAATTTTGGCACACCGGAAGTGCGGCACGTGCCGCGCCACTGTTACTAGCGGGATTAAATATATCGCCCCGAATCAGAATGCATTGCGCGCCAGCGGCGCCGGCCCCTTTGGCTTCTCGCGTTTCGTGGCGAAACAATTCCGACGCGATATTTATCGCGAGCGGCAGCTGCGGCTGTCACGCGGCTTCGGCTTCGCGCCATTTTTTTTTTGGCGCCCTTTTTTTGGGCGCGCTTTTTGCCACGTGTTCTCGTTTTGTTCCGCTCCGCCTTTCCGGTGGCTGCCGGTCTGGCCGCTGGCTGCCGGTCTGGCCGCTGGCTGCCGGTCTGGCCGCTGGCTGCCGGTCTGGCCGCTGGCTGCCGGTCTGGCCGCTGGCTGCCGGGCAGGGCGTACAGTGGATTTGTCAGAAGACCGGCGCACGCGGCCAAAACTCTAGACGCGTTTCGAGCTCCAGAGTCGTCAAACGGAACTCGAACCGAGCGTGTGACCCCACCAATGGATTCCTCGTTTGAAGAGCAATCCATTGGTGGGATCACGTTCGGTTTGAGACCCATTTAGAGACTGTAGATCTCAAAACCCGTTCCGGGACTCTGACTCCCTGCTCCGGCCTCCACCGGTCTTCTGGCCCACTGTGGGGCGCGCTACGCGCTTCGCTGCGTTTCCGACGCGGTCCAAATTAAAAGCAAGGTGCTGCGGCCCGTGATTCGCACGGCGTTTTCGTCTCTCTTCCTTCTCTTCCTTCTCGTCCTTCTCGGAGTGCCCCCGGCAGCCCCTGGCAGCCCGTGGCAGCCCCAGGCCTCCCGGAATGGCTGCCGGCCTGCCCGGGCTGTGCCGGGGCCGCACCGAAGCGGTTTGCGGCAATGTGCAGGCGCACTGCGCCAGCAGGCTGACTCCGAGGGGCAGGTCTCGTCGGTCTGTCTCTCTCACACCTATACGGGACGCCATGAGAGCGAGCGAGAGACCCCCCTCTCGGAATCGGCCTGCAGCGGGGCGGCGGGGCGGCAGTCCGAGGATGCCTTCTTGTCTTGGCTTCTATTGCAATGTCCGCCCTTCCCTTCCTCTCTCCCTCTGTCCCTCTCTCCCTCGACAGCCGCCTCTACTGCAAAAGGCTGGCGGTGTTTCCTCGGGGATGAATCATCATTCGAGGGCGAGGCGGCGGGGCGAGGGCAGGCGATCGTGTGAAAACCTCACTCGCCCCCCGACAGCAATGCGGAGCAATGCGGAGCAATGCGGAGCCATGTCAGACATTGCGATTCCACTTTCGGCGCGTCCATCTTTCTCGGCCCCGGCCTCGGCCGCCTCCCGCAGCGCTGCCAGCCCCAGCCGAGGCCGTGGAGGCCGTGGGCGGAGACCGGGCAGAACGCGGCGGCATGACAAACGATACGTTGACCCGCGGCGCGCCTCTTCCTCCGCGAAGGCCTCTGCGTCGGTGTTGTGGCTACGCCGGCGGAATCCGGCGAGGCAAGGCCAGGCGAGGCGGCGCTGCAGGGAGGGAAAAGGAGAACAGGATCTCGGCAGGAGCTCCAGGAGACGAGCAAGCGCACGAAGCTCACGTCGAATCCCTGGAGGAATTCCTTCTCTCCGTGCCGGGCCGGGCCTTGGGCCGGGGTTGGGGTTCTCTAGCTCGCCTTCCACCGCAGCGCCCCGCACTCGGCTACTGTGCGCAGCGGCGCAGCGGGCAGCGCGATGAGGCAGAAATCGCCTTGAAATGGGTGGTAGTTGTGACGGAGGCGGTGGCGGTGGCGGGGGGCCGTCCCCGGGCATCGTGGGGGCAGCGCGTTGACCGTACGGCTCAGCACCAATTTCTCATCTGGTACACCTCGATGGCGCGGTCCTCCGTCACTGTCCTCGGCTAGGCGGTGGAGCGCGGTCCGACATCCGAAGCCGCAGTGCCCCGGCCGAGCGAACGTGGTCGACGTGGCCGACGCGGCCGACGTGGCCGACGTGGTCGACGTGGCCGACATGGTTGACGCGGTCGACGTGGCCGACGCGGCCGACGTGGCCGACGTGGTCGACGTGGCCGTCGTGGCCGACGCGGCCGACGTGCCCGGCCTGTAAGGCGATCGGCCGATAGTTAGGCCGAAGGAAAAACAATTAGGTGCGCCGTTACTCTTGCCGAAGCACGTCAGCCTGGACCGCCGCCCCGCCGCCCCGCCGCCGTCTCAGGGGAGGGCAGGGCGGCAGGGCAGCTGCCCGGGCGACGGGGAGCGCTTCCGGCGAGGCCCCGGGCCGCAGCACGAGTCTGCCCGAGTCCGCCTCGTCCCGATGGCTTTCAGGGCGCCTCTTCAAGTTGGGCGCAAGCGAGAGCCAATGCCTGGGATCCCCGCCATCCCCCAAAGTTTGTCCGGGACGGGTGGCGCCCGCGGCCCCGCCGCGTCGTCGTTGTCGTCGTGGTGGTCGTCGTGGTCGTGGTGGTGGTCGTCGTAGTCGTCGTGGTGGTCGTCGTGTTCGTGGTGGTGGTGGTCGTGTGGTGGTGGTCGTGGTGGTCGTCGCGACGTTGGAGACGCAGAGGATGGCGTCCAGGCGGACGGACGGAAGGAAGCAGGGCCGTCGTCTCGCTCCGCTTCCTGCTCATTGAGTCTGGCTGCCTGGCTCACTCCGGTGATACTGGCGAGGCGGCCACTGGCCAGCATCCCCGGTCATGGGAAAGGAGGAAAAATGCTGCCCCATTAATTTTTCCAAATAAAACAAATCCATCGCGTCGCTGTCCTGGGGTCGCACGCAGGGGCCGCGGGTTTACAGTGCGCGAGCGTAGCGTGCAGCGTGTATAGTGCACGCCCTGCACGCCGCACTCACTGCCCGCCCCGCCCTCTGCGGCACATGTTTCAATTTTATCACCGCGGCTCCTAGAAAAACAAAAGCAAAGACGGGGGAAAAAGAAGAAGGAGGAGGACAACGGGTCTACGGTTTCCGCCCGCAAATTTATTCTTTACGCGGGCTGAAAGAAAATGCGCGGTGCGGCGGTGCGGCCGCGGGGCTCTAAATGGCGCTGCCGCCGCGCCGCCGCCGCCGGCGACGACTTTTCATGAAGTTTCGCCGTTTAAATCCGCGCGCTGTTTTGTGTCTCGGGGTTGGTTGCCTGCCTGATTTATTTCGGCTCGGCTCGGCTCGGCACGGCGCGGCACCTGTGGCGAGGCAGGCGAAGCAGCAGTGGAGGCAGGATGGCCAGGCCAGGCAGATCCAGCCTTCGGAATGGGACCGCCACCGTAAGCCAGACCCGGTGGCGTGCACATTTTCACGCAACGCAAGAACCGCAGTAAAGACACTGCTAAAGCCACAACAAAAACAACTACAAGAAACAGAGTGTCGTATCGCGTTGAACGCCGTAACGGGCAGCTCGCTCTCCCCCCTTTTATGCACGCCGCGCGTCGCGCCGACGCGGCAGTGAAGAGGATCCATTATTATTTGCCTCCCCTTTCCTATTTTCTATTTTCTCCGTCACCGCGGGGCGGGGTGGGGCGTGTGATGGCGGCAACACTGTTGCAGATGGCGGCGCGCTCCATGGCTCGGTGGCTGGCCGAGCTTCTGGCCGCTCAGATAAGGAAGCAGGCCTGCGCCGCGGCCACCGCCATGGAGGCCGTCATGGAGGCCGCCGTCATGGAGGCCGCCGTCATGGAGGCTCCCGCCAGGCGCCAACGAGGAGGCCCCCGCACCACGCCGTTGTGATGGATAACAAGCCACGCTACAGCGTCATGCTGTGTCTGCCTTCACACGCACACACACACACACACACACACACACACGCGAGCAATGCCCCAGTTCTCCGGTCTATACATCATTTGAATTTCTTTTTGAGGACGGGGCGGACGGCGTGCACACAGTGCACATGCCGCCCTGGCGCTGGAGTGGCGCGCGTGGCGTGACCCCCCCCCCTCCCCCTGACTTTCGTCGCTCTGTCTTTCTCGCTCTCGCCTGGGGTATTGCGATGCGCAGGGGGGCGGGCGACCACAAGGGAATGGCACTGTGACCGGTCGGTCCGGTCGGCCGGCCGTGAAGTAGAAACTCCAGGACGAGGGACGACGGCCACGTGACGTCGCTGACGGCTGCCACAGGTTGGCCCGGTCGCCCGCACCGCACACTGATGCCCCGCAGCCAATCCGTGATTGGCGGAACACAACCGCGGTGCGATTTGCAATTCCAGGGGGGGGGGGGCTGCGGCGCGGTC